GAGAGCATCATGAAGAATATGACTAGCACATTTAAGTCTAACCCACTTCCTATGCATAGGTATTTTTTGAGCAAACAACTTATGGGAACAATAATCAACTTGCATAGGAAGGTAAAACAAGCATAACTTCAAAACTTTAAGCACATAGAGAGGAAACTTGATATTATTGCAATTCCTACAAGAATATATTCCTCCCTCATAATAATTTTCAGTAGCATCATGAATGAATTCAACAATATAACCAGCACCTAAAGCGTTCTTTTCATGATATACAAGCATAGAAAATTTACTACTCTCAACACAAGCAAAATTCTTCTCATTAATAATAGTGGGAGCAAACTCAACAAAATAACTATCATGTGATTGAAAATCAAGATCAAGATGACAAGTTTCATGGTTATCATTATTCTTTAAAGCATACGTGTCATCACAATAATCATCAGAGATAGGAGGCATGCTTTTATCATAATAAATTTGCTCATCAAAACTTGGGGGGCAAAAAATATCATCTTCATCAAACATAGCTTCCCCAAGCTTGTGGCTTTGCATATCATTAGCATCATGGATATTCAAGGAATTCATACTAACAACATTGCAATCATGCTCATCATTCAGATATTTAGTGCCAAACATTTTATAGATTTCTTCTTCTAGCACTTGAGGACAATTATCCTTTCCATCATACTCACGAAAGATATTAAAAAGGTGAAGCGTATGAGACAAAATCAATTCCATTTTTTATAGTTTTATTTTATAAAATAAACTAGTGATAAAACAAGAAACTAAAAGACTTGATTGCAAGATCTAAAGATATACCTTCAAGCGCTAACCTCCCTGGCAACGGCATCAGAAAAGAGCTTGATGTCTACTACACAACCTTCTTCTTGTAGACGTTGTTGGGCCTCCAAGTGCAGAGGTTTGTAGGACAGTAGAAAATTTCCCTCAAGTGGATGACCTAAGGTTTATCAATCCATAGGAGGCATAGGATGAAGATGGTCTCTCTCAAGCAACCCTGCAACCAAATAACAAAGAGTCTCTTGTGTCCCCAACACACCCAATACAATGGTAAATTGTATAGGCGCACTAGTTCGGCGAAGAGATGGTGATAAAGTGCTATATGGATAGTAGATAAAGGTATTTGTAATCTGAAATTATAAAAACAGCAAGGTAACAAGTGATAAAAGTGAGCGTAAACGGTATTACAATGCTAGGAAACAAGGCCTAGGGTTCATACTTTCACTAGTGTAAGTCCTCTCGACAATAATAGCATAATTGGATCACATAACTATCCCTCAACATGCAACAAAGAGTCACTCCAAAGTCACTAATAGTGAAGAACGAACGAAGAGATTATGGTAGGGTATGAAACCACCTCAAAGTTATTCTTTCCAATCAATCCGTTGGGCTATTCCTATAAGTGTCACAAACAGCCCTAGAGTTTGTACTAGAATAACACCTTAAGACACAAATCAACCAAAACCCTAATGTCACCTAGATACTCCAATGTCACCTCAAGTATCCGTGGGTATGATTATACGATATGCATCACACAATCTCAGATTCATCTATTCAACCAACACAAAGGACCTCAAAGAGTGCCTCAAAGTTCCTACCAAAGAATCACGACGAAAACGTGTGCCAACCCCTATGCATAGGTTCATGGGCGGAACCCGTAAGTTGATCACCAAAACATACATCAAGTGAATCACGTGATATACCATTGTCACCACAGATATCCACGGCAAGAGATACATCAAGTGTTCTCAAATCTTTAAAGACTCAATCCGATAAGATAACTTCAAAGGGGAAACTCAATTCATTACAAGAGAATAGAGGGGGGAAGAAACATCATAGGATCCAACTATAATAGCAAAGCTCGCGATACATCAAGATCGTGCCAAATCAAGAACACGAGAGAGAGAGATCAAACACATAGCTACTGGTACATATCCTCAGCCCCGAGGGAGAACTACTCCCTCCTCGTCATGGAGAGCACCGGGATGATGAAGATGGCCACCGGAGAGGGATTGCCCCCTCCAGCAGGGTGCCGGAACGGGTCTAGATTGGCTTTTGGTGGCTACGGAGGCTTTTGGCGGCGGAACTCCCGATCTATTGTGCTCTCGGATGTTTTTAGGGTATATGGAGATATATAGGCGGAAGAAGTACGTCAGGGGGGCCACGAGGGGCTCACGAGGGTGGAGGGCGCGCCCAGGGGGGTGGGCGCGCCCAGGGGGGGTGGGCGCGCCCCCTGCCTCGTGACCTCCTCGCAGATCCCCCGACGTGCACTCCAAGTCTTCTGGGCTTCTTTCCTTCCAAAAATTAGTTCCGTGAAGTTTCAGGTCAATTGGACTCCGTTTGATTTTCCTTTTCTTCAAAACCCTAAAACAGGGTAAAAACAGAAACTGGCACTGGGCTCTGGGTTAATAGGTTAGTCCCAAAAATGATATAAAAGTGTATAATAAAGCCCATAAACATTCAAAACAGTAGATAATATAGCATGGATCAATCAAAAATTGTAGATACGTTGGAGACGTATCAGCAACCTACACATGGGCGTCGAGGACACCCCTGCGCTGTCGTTTCTTCGCATGGTTGGCTTTAATGGATAGAGTGTGGACCTCCGATAGACTGGCAAGACGCGGACTACCACATCAAGACACCTGCCCCTTCTGCGATCAGACTGACGAAACAATCAATCACCTCATGACACAACGCGTATTCGCGAAGGAGGTTTGGACCAAGGTGGGTCAGGCCGTTGGCATGACAGGCACGACGCCATCAAGCGGAGATGATCTAGTGACATGGTGCACAAGGTCCATATTCGAGGGGAGGCACGCCAAGACTTTGCGGGCCATTCACCTGCTCGTCATGTGGGAGTTGTGGAAACACCGAAATGCAATTGTGTTCGAGGGCATGAGGCTGGACGTGCAACACATCCTACGAAGGATCACCTCAGAGTGTGGGACATGGAGACAAGTGGGTATTCTATGTTGGGGAACGTAGTAATTTCAAAAAAATTCCTACGCACATGCAAGATCATGGTGATTGTGACGCCCCAAGACCGGAGCTTCAGATGCCTTCCATGTTTCCGGGTTTCGTCGTGTGTTTTGTTTGGTTCGTTGCATCATGTGCATTGCATCATGTCATCATGCCATCATCTCATAAATCTTTTGCAACTCAACTAAATAAATTGCATGGATCTTCGGTCCATTTAAATCGAGGGAATTCACATGGTGATTCTCTTTATAACATATCCTCCCAATATTAGGGAGCTAAATAAAAATATTCCACTCGTTTGGAATTACTGCAAACACACTTGCAAAATATTCCATGCTTTTCTTACTATATTCCTCGTCTCCAAACTTTGCCCTAAATTCTTTCTTCACTTTCCGGAGGTCTACCAAAAATCTCAACATTTTGGGACCTTTCTAACGCCCACTTCTTATTCAAACTCATTTGAATTTAATTCAAACGAGTTCGAATCCAAACTTTGTACACATGCCCATTTATACTTTTATTGGATCAAGATCTTTATTGCGAGTCCAGTAAAATTATCTCCATGCTCAAAATCCTTCCCTAACCCTCTCTTTCTTTTCCTCTCTCTAATTTCTTTTCTGTTAAAGGATTAAGTTTTAACTAGTAAATATGCCCGTGCGTTGCACCGGAAGAAAGAACTTAACATGTCATTCATCATGTTAGAAGCTACCGGGTCGAGCAAAGTAGGATTTTTAGGGAGGGAAGCGCAAGACGTATATGATTAACCTAAGGCTGCGAAACATGTAATCAATGGACCCTGTGCCATGTGAAGATGTATCATACGAAGGGCAACCACATTTCCTCATACAAAAACAATAAATCCACGTTGGCTCGTTGATAAAGCCGTACAGGGAGCCGACGAGAAAAATAGAGGGGGCCAAGATGTCGCCGACCTGCTCAACACGAGCCGCCGTCCTACTACACATGTGCAGATCCAATGCCAATCATTGTCATCCGCAACCGTACATTGTCACTCTTATGCGCGTCGTTCCAAAGAAAGAGACCGAGAAAGAGAGGAAAGGGTACAACCCCCCTCAAAAACGTATAAAAGAGCATAAGAGTTTCCTACACTCCTACATCCATCCCTCGTCAGAATTTCCTATTTGCTTGCATCGGCAGCAGTCAGTGAATGATATGTGTTATCTATGCTGAGTTGCGTTGTTGTGTCTATCACACCACACACAGCCGCTACCAAGCACGTTGTTGGCACCAGTCATCGCGATGCAACCACACATGCTGCCATGACCGAACAACCGACAACCGAGCACACGCGCTGCCTTAGATCGAGCCTGAATGTAGTCGGTGCTAGGACACATAGCATCCAGCCAAGGTTTTGTGTTTCATTTGTAAATTTGCCGCCCTTGAATGAAATGGGTGAACTTTGAAATTTTGGATTTTTTTAGAAATCTCGGACAAAAAGGACAATCCAAAATTTAATTTATTTGGACGAAACATGAACAAAAAATGACTGAAATTGCACAATTTTTTTGAATCCTCCAGCAATAGAATAAAGCAGAGACAAACTGAACAACACCGATCCCTTGATTGATATACACCCATGAATAGCTAAGAACAATTCGATTTAGCGGACTACCATAAATCCCATAATTCAATCAGCAAGATTACCATAGTACTTAGTACTCATCTTTGTATGATTAGTACTGCATCAATCATGCTGCCAAGCACACGCATCTGCACCGGTCCCTTTCGAGTCACCCGACACGTCTGAATCCAGCAGCTTTCAGTCGGTACAGTTGATTAAAAAAAGCAACATGCACCGCCCACTGCGTATCCCTTATCCACAACAACACATCGCCATTCCCCATCACAGACACTCCGCCTCCATCTTCCTCCTCGTCCTACCTCACCCACCCAACGCTGCTCATCCTCCTCTTCTCCATCCATCTCACCACCCAAGCGTTGCTCACCTCTTCGTGCTGCCTCCCTGTCTCCTCCACCCGCACCTAGAGTGGAGCTCCTCTCTGCCACGAGCCACCCCAGCTGCCGCCGCCCCTCTCCTCCTCTCTCTCAGCTTTTTCCTTATCCTCTCGAGGGAAGGGAGTCGCCAAAGAACAACCCGCAGCAGTCCGGCTACCTTGGTGATCGCCCCGCCGCCGGGCCGGCCACCTCTTCGTCGGCCTCGTGCTCCTCTGCGTCGATCCGAACAACCAGGCAGCACCCCCGCTGCCTTGGAGCTCTGACCGCCTCCGGCTGGCCACCTCTCGGTCGGCCTCGTGCTCCTCCGCCTCGATCTGTCCGCCCCGTCGCCGGATCCACGCCGGAGCAGCCGGATCTGCCGCCCCGTGCATGTCCTGCCGTCGGGAGGAGGACGCTCGAGAGGAGCGCCCATTCGTCCGGGACATGGGCCACGCAGCTTGCTCCACCCCTGCCGCAGGTCTTCAAACAACCTCGCTCTCTTTCTATCAACTCTCTCATCCTCCATGCTGTAGACAACTCAAATCCATGTCGGGCACTCCATTGCTTGGCGGCGGACAGGTCACAATCCGGCAGCGAGCTCGCGGAGGCATGGAGGTCCGACGGCCATGGCTTCCTGCGAAGGAGAGAGAGGGAGGTGACAGAAAGAACCGGAGTGAGGGGAGGGAACAAGAAGAGGAGTACGGCGGCGCTGCTCCGGTGGCCGGCCGGCGCGGGGCAGCGGGGAGGCACAAGCGTGAGGCCGCGCGTTGAGGCGCTGCGTGAGGTCGGCTGCGGTGGCACTGGACGCCGGCGTGAGGAGCAGGCCGAGGTGCTTGGGACCTACTGGTCCGGATCAAGCGAGGGGGATCGGGGAGGAGCAGAGCACGGGGCGGCAGCGTACGGGCCAGATCGGGAGGCAGTTTTTTTTCTTTTCTCTCGCTCATATCGGTTCGGTTGACTTAAGTTGAGGACTGTGGGTTGAATACAAAAGAGCACAGGGACTTTTCTGCAAAATTACCCACGACGTACGACCAGAAGCGATCGGTGGTTTATTAGTAGGTAAAGATAAAGAGGTAAAGAAGAGGGAGAGGGAGAAGAGAACCCAGGCCCATCTTTTCCCCGCAGTCCAACCAGCCCCTAAGGCCCACCTAACTATACCTCGCGGCCTGACCTAGATGGCCCGAAGCCCAGCTCCTGCACCGCACTTATCTCCCTCTCGATCCCTCCCTCGCGCCGCCAGGAGAGGAGGCCACGCGCTCGACCCCTTCTCTGCCCGATCCCACTTCTCTCCCTCTCGTTCTCTCCTTCCCGATCCTCATCTCCTTTCCCTCGCGCCGCCACTCACTCCTCACGCCACGAGAGCCCCGTGCTCGATCCCTTCTCCTCGCGCATCACCACACGCAGGAGAGGGCGCGCCGACCATCTTCTTCCCCCATCTCCATCGATCCCCACTCAGAGGAGCCCCTCTGCCTCGCCGTTGCTCCTCCACGCGCCGACGAACAGGACCACGTCGCGGCCATGGCATCACCGTCCTCCCAGCGCCCCCTCTCTGTCGGACCAGCGCTCGTCCACGCCGGATCCTGCAGCCCCGCGCAGTCCTCTCCTCCGCTCCTTCTTTGTCCTCCCGGGCGAGCTGCTGCGACGCTGCACCCCCACAAGTCTAGCTGCGCATCCCCTCTGCGCCAACACCACGGCCTCGCCGGCCGGCCATCGGAGTTGTCGACCCGACCTGCCCTCCCGCGCTCTACCCCTTCCCTGTGTACCCGTCTCGCCGGAGCGCACCACCACCATCACAGTCCTGCGCCACCTCGTGAGGGACGGCCTCTTGGCTGCCCGCGGGAACCTTGCTCTGCTCCGGCCCCGACCTCCGCCCGTGACAGTTGCTGCTGCCGCGACTCGAGCTGTTGCTCCCTGCTTCTCCACTACCGTCGCCTCTTTGCCATGGCCATCGCCGAGTTCCCCCCCAGGACCCCCTGCAGTCATGTACAGGAAAAAAACAAGTCTGAAGACTGACCGTGGATGTGTGCCTGGTGCTACTTGGATTCATCAAGACCGCCTACCTGGACCGTCAACTACTGTCTCCGGGATTTACCAAGTACCACATCGTACGGTGCCCGAACATCCACCACAACAGCGCCAAGTTCCACTACCGTCGACCCTCGAAGACCCCATGGACGTCTAGTTCCATATCGCGACCCCGAACATCTACGGACGCGTACGACTTTCGTGGCCGAAGACCCGTGTACAACTACCGTCGCCATGTACGACTACCTCCACTACGAACGTCCTGAGAACGTCTACTATCTCTGCTTTGCACCGAACGAGAACCGTCCCTTTTGCACGCTTCGAAGGTATAATCCTGAGACGATCATCCGAGAACGTTTGCATGTGTTGTATGAGATGCACGCGTTGTCTGCACCGTGTCCGAGTTGTCACTTGCTCGGTCCTCCTCTTTTGCCGCTAACCCGTGGGAACCCGGTTACCGGGAGCACCCCACCGTTCATCGCATGACACGCTCCCGTCACTTTCTTTTGCACCGACATCTCAATGAGTTGACGGAACCGGAACGTTGCCGTGGCACCGTTTCGTTATCGTCGCCGTGGCACCCCTTTCATTTTTGCCACGATGAAAAATGTTTCATAATGCTCTTGTCAACTTTTAATAAAAATTGCATAAACTTGTTCATGTCATCCGCATCATGATAACAACAATTAAAATGTTTAGATTGTTGTTGCACCAAATTACTAATGCATATGGGGATTTACCGGATTTGTTGTTTGTTATATCCGGCCCCATTTAAATGGTTTAAATGGTATAGTTTTGTTATGCTTCACCTCTTGCCATGTTAACCAACATTTAAATTTGTTGAGTACCTAACTGGGAGAGAACTAAATAATTAATGTGGTGTTCCGTCAATATGCAACTCGTTGCATATTGAGCTCCACTTAATTTGTAGGATTGTTTGTGCTCTTTGCCATGCCATGCTTCATTAAACCGGACATGCATCATACTTGGTTGCGCATCATGCCATGTTCATGTCGTGGTTGTTTACTATGTTGTTTGTTTCTTTTCGGTGTTGCTTCTTCGGGTTGGTTCCGATAACGTCGCGTTTGTGAGGACTCGTTTGACTACGTCCATTTGTCTTCTTCATGGACTCGTTCTTTTTCCTTGCGGGATTTCAGGCAAGATGACCATACCCTCGAAATCACTTCTATCTTTGCTTGCTAGTTACTCGCTCTTTTGCTATGCCTATGCTGCGATACCTACCACTTGCTTATCATGCCTCCCATATTGTTGAGCCAAGCCTCTAACCCACCTTGTCCTAGCAAACCGTTGTTTGGCTATGTTACCGCTTTGCTCAGCCTCTCTTATAGGTTGGTAGTTGCAGGTGAAGATTGGAGTTTTGTTCCTTGTTGGAACATGGATATTTTGTTGGAATATCACAATATCTCTTATTTAATTAATGTATCTATATACTTGGTAAAGGGTGGAAGGCTCGGCCTTATGCCTGGTGTTTTGTTCCACTCTTGTCGCCCTAGTTTCCGTCATATCGGTGTTATGTTCCCGGATTTTGCGTTCCTTACGCGGCTGGGTCATAATGGGAACCCCTTGACAGTTCGCTTTGAATAAAACTCCTCCAGCAAGGCCCAACCTTGGTTTTACCATTCGCCACCTAGCCTCTTTTTCCCTTGGGTTAGGCCAGCCCAAGGGTCATCTTTATTTTAACCCCCCTGGGCCAGTGCTTGTCTAAGTGTTGGTCCGAACTGAGTAGACTGCGGGGCCACCTCGGGGAAACTTGAGGGCTGGTTTTACTCGTAGGATGTCTCATCCGGTGTTGCCCTGAGAACGAGATATGTGCAGCTCCCATCAGGATGTCGGCGCATCGGGCGGCTTTGCTGGACTTGTTTTATCATTGTCGAGGATGTCTTGTAGAACCGGGATATCGAGTCTGATCGGAATGTCTCGGGAGGAGGTCTATTCCTTCGTTGACCGTGAGAGCTTGTCATGGGCTAAGTTGGGACACCCCTGCAGGGTTTTGAACTTTCGAAAGCCGTGCCCGCGGTTATGGGAAGATGGGAATTTGTTAATGTTCGGTTGTAGAAAACCCGAAGTTGACCTTAATTAAAATACATCAACCGCATGTGTAACCGTAATGGTCTCTTTCCGGCGGAGTCCGGGAAGTGAACACGGTGTTGGAGTTATGTTTAACGTAGGTTGTTCTAGGATCACTTCTTGATCATAGTTGTTCGATCGTGCTTTGCCTTCTCTACTTGCTCTCATTTGCGTATGTTAGCCACCATATATGCTAGTCGCTCGCTGCAGCTCCATCTCATACCTTTTTACCTTACCCATAAGCTTAAATAGTCTTGATCGCGAGGGTGCGAGATTGCTGAGTCCCCGTGGCTCATAGATACTTCCAAAACTAGCTTACAGGTGCCGATGAGACCGTGGAGATGACGCAACCAAGCTCAGGAGGAGCTCGATGAAGATCTTGTCCTTTGTGTTGTTTCGTTCTAGTTGATCAGTATTGGAGCCCAGTTGGGGTCGATCGGGGACCGTGTCGCTTTTGGGGTTCTTCTTTTATTTTGGTTCCGTAGTCGGACCTTGATTGTATCTAGATGATGTAATGCCTTATTCATGTAATTGTGTGAAGTGGCGATTGTAAGCCAACTATGTATCTTTTCCCCCTATTGTATTACATGGGTTGTGTGAAGATTACCTCACTTGCGACATTGCTTTTAATGCGGTTATGCCTCTAAGTCATGCTTCGACACGTGGGAGATATAGCCGCATCGGGGGCATTACAGTGATGTATAGCAACGGGAGGGGGGAGTGTTGTCTACGTACCCTCGTAGACCGTAAGCGTAAGTGTTATGACAACGCGGTTGATGTAGTCGTATGTCTTCACGATCGACCGATCCTAGCACCGAAGGTACGGCACCTCCGTGGACTACGCACGTTCAGCTCGGCGACGTCCCACGAACTCACAATCCAGTAGAGCTTCGAGGGAGAGCTTCGTCAGCATGATGGCGTGATGATGGTGATGATGAAGTTACCGACGCAGGGCTTCGCCTAAGCATCGCTACGATATGACCGAGGTGGAATATGGTGGAGGGGGGCACTGCACACGGCTTGGAACAATCAACTTGTGTGTCCTAGGGTGCTCCCCTGCCCCCGTATATAAAGGAGCAAGGGGGAGGCCGGCCGGCCCTTGGGGCACGCCAAGGAGGGGGGAGTCCTCCTCCTAGTAGGAGTAGGACTCCCCTTTCCTAGTCCAACTAGGAAGAGGGAAGGGGGAAGGAAACAGAGGGAGAGGGAGAGGGAAAGAGGGGCCGCGCCCCCCTCCCGTAGTCCAATTCAGACTCCCCTTGGGGGGGCACCTCCTGGGCTGTTGCCCTCTCTCTCCATAAGGCCCACTAAGGCCCAATACTTCCCCGGGGGGTTC